AAGGTACTATGTAACAATTTTACATGTTTGTTCTCTTTACGCTCAAGGTGGCATTTTGTAGTCTGCTACTACTATAAGTAATCTGCCAAATAGGAAAATAGGAGAGTGTTCGTGAAAATTAGGATATGAACTGTATTGTACATTACAGTGGTCTTGCGATTATATGTGATTGTTAATCAATGAAAATATATAAATAAAAATAAACGGTGATGTAGTACTAGAGAGAACTACAATAAAATCCATATAATCCATCTGATTGACAATATCTTGTAAAACGATTTAAAAAGGTTAACATTTTACAGGACTGCCATAAATAACAAAATAAGATTATAACTAAAAGTTTAAATAGCTTTAAAAAAAAAACCGTAGAGGGTCTTCGGTTCTATACTATGTAAGGAAGTACTGTTTCTTGGTCAACAATTGTACAAGGAGGTGATTTGACCGTGATCTCGCTCAACCGTCAAGTTTTCCCACTTAATAGAGGCTGAATGTGCCCCAGGATCGAACCACGAATGATAAAACCGAATAAATAATTACCTACCATCAGCCGGATACGAAACCGAGACCTTGAGCTTTGGAAATCAGTGCCCTATTCATTGAGTTCACTTAAATAGATTTAAAGCAAAACCATAATAAATGTAAAATAATCAAACCTGTATAATTAAACTAAGGTGAAGTCATAGATTTAGTGTTAAGGACTGGGCTGAAATTTTGACCTAAGTGAGAGTGAAAAGTTTGATATTTCGACTCCTTTATATTTCATCCCAACTCTAAGCTGATAAAAGCCAATGAAATATTTACTATTTTATTAATACATAATCATGAAATTGGAGATAAAATTAAATTTGCGACATACAAATTTCTTTGCAATGAGCAAATTTTTTGGCAGTTTCACAGAGTCCCATCAAAAATCCAGGAAATTCTTAGCCACCAGCTACGTAATCATTGATGTGGGCTATACGGATTTATTTTGCGTTTAAGGTTTTTTGTCAGAGGACTTATGTTGTAAGTTAGTCTTTGGTGAAAGTTATTGTAGTTTTCTTTTTTAGTGTCTAAAATTATTGGGATGTTCAAGTCTTTAAATAATCTATCGTTTGCGACATAAAATGGTGCGTCAACTTCAATATGAGAAAAACATATATTTGGTGACGACATTTGACTGATGTTGTAAATAGGGACGTCGGTTCGAATCTGGCCTGAGAAGAGTCGATTTGTATTTCATGGTGGACCCATGTAATGGAACTCGATCTTCCCACTCTGGTTAGTATAGGTCTGGTTATACCTCTAAAACAACCAAATGCCAGAAATGGTAGGTATGGAGTAATCCAATAAAATAAAAAAATCAAGCATAACTTTACTATTAATAAACTAAGAAATTACTGAGAAAATGAGCAATTTTGTTGTGCATATTATAATTTTTTAATGAACCATTGAAACTGAATGAACCGAAATAAAATTTCGGATTAGAAATACTGGATTTTTGAATATTTAACACATATTTCTTAAACAATTTTCTCATATTTAACACATTTAAGAGGTTTGCAATACTTAGCACTGGTTGCATGAATACACCTATCGTTCTTGATTGAGTAGAGATTTTACGTACTCCATTGCTGCAATATTTTGCTTCTCACAACTCTATAATGATTTGTGTCGATATTAGTTATTGTAATTATAAGTTTTGCACGATAGTTAAAAAAATCAATACTGTGTGGAAGTAAGGATGTTTTCTCGACAGTGTCCTTTGTGCCTCAGATGACGGATGTAGATGGTAAAGATGACTGGTATGTGGCGGGCCCGTTGATATTCGGTTCTACTTTCCTCGACATCCTCCATCATCGGCTGACCTAATCTTCTCGGAGGTTTCCCCTCCCTCTGTTCTTCGTCCCGCTTGACCACTTTGAATAGGCCCACTCCATGCCATTCTTCCAATGACCTCGTGCCCGAGGTCTTCTTCTTTAAAACGGCTAATATCCCATTGATGAAAAAAATCTCAAGAATATCGATTAAGAAGAGACCATACCAATCTATTGGAAAAATAATAATTTACGGTTATCCTTTTTTTTTTTCGTAATCTTTTTTTTCAGTAAACCATCACAAATTTTTTTTGTGTAATGGTAATCTCCAAAAATATCTGATTTATTCAGTCAAAAATAGTAATTGAATTAAGACGAAAAGTAGGTTCTGCTTCACTTTTTTTATTTCAATCTTTTTTTTTTTCTTCTAAAATGTGATACGATTCTGTTAAAAAGATAATGATCATGACTTGATAATGTTTTTTTAAAAATAATTTAAAGATAGAATTTTAATACATTTTTTACTTATAATTATTGTTATTTTTACAAGCCTGTTTTTTCATTTTAGAAGATTGTTTGAATGGTCTTCACATTCTGTTGAGTAGTTTCGGTATTTAATTATTATTTTCTATTCATTTATATAATATTTATATATATCATTTATATATATATATATATATATATATATATATATATATATATATATATATATATATATATATGCCGTTAAAAAAACGACGCAGTGCAATTGTTTGAAAACTATTTTATCATATTTTTATGACAAAAGTTAAAGTTTTCCAGGTTGTGTTTACGGATGAAAAAAAAAATTAAAACCTTAAGAAACTTTTCTACCTGTAGTTAAGAAACTTCAAACGCGATGATAGATTTTAATAATTATTTCTTTTAAATTGATTGCGAAAATTCTTTAGTTGCATTTTAAAAAATTAAAGCAGTAAGTAATTTGATAAATATTCCTTCGGTGAGATCTCAGTATTTTGTTTTTAGTATAACTACTTTCTTCATGCTCTGATATGACACCTATACTCCAATTTACACTAACAATGTTCTCATTCAAATGACTAACACAGTTCACAGATGGATTCACGTTCGACAGAAGGATGGCCTAGTAGCTACTTATTAAAAAGAATAGAGTGCTACCATTGGGTAGTTACTCAGCAAGTGTATTCATGTCATTATATCAATTATGTGCAAATTTACTTGATGTATTTATGTAATACAGTTGTAAATGTCATAAAGAAATAAAAAAAAAAATTAAAAAGAAACGTCTTACCCTAAATAATCGACTTTTGTATTCCTTCTTATATAAACGATACACTTGAGACAAAAAATTAAGTTCATATGGACTTACGAATCACAAATCTACGGGATAGCTAAAAAGACCCAGAGTATAAAAATACAGACTTTCCAACCAAAAACTTTAAGACTCATCACACGTTCACTCTCTTACGTCAGTAACAAAACATTACATACATACTTACAATATGCACGTGGTACAAGATCACATTCGGACTTTATATAAAAATGTTCATAACAAAATTCACGGATATACTAACAAACTTATAAAAAACATGGCCACAACACATGTTTTGAAAACGCCCGACGAAGGCTGAAAAAGAGCTGGTGAAGAGTTTTCCCTGTATTAGTTTTTTCTTTTTATTTCATGTTAGGAGTAGGTGGGTACCGACCTCCTTCAAGGCTTTCATAGCAGTTCTATCAATAAATATCACATCCGCGTATTATCACAGGTGGTGGTGATAGGTGTGGATACAAAAATAAAAGTAAAACAATCTGGTGCGCGCAACACACAACTTTCATTTACCGATCTACTTTGAATAGAAATTATTTTCTGGCAATGCTGGGCTATTATAAATTTTTTCGAAGTGCATTTTAAATGGAGCTAAAGCTTGAAGCTTACAGATAACAAGTCATTAAGACCATTATACTGATAAAATGTCTATTTAATATATCGACGACAGGCAATAAAAATCTAGTCACTCCATCTGCTTTTATAAACCACAAAATGACTAACTCCAATTTCAACATTTTTGAGTAATGTCATTTTAGACATATTTTTAGTTGAAAAAGTTATCTATGCAGACGATGAGTAAGTTAATTCCAGAGGTGGTCATTGAAATATAGAACTGAGAATAAAGGTATAAATTTAGTTACTTATTTCTTATGAAAGATGTTCTTAGGAAAGACACTTTATTAAATATCTGTAGAAAAAAGGTTTTTTTAGTCTCAAAAATTAAAAAAATATATTTTAAATTTATACAAATTTTCGCCTCTTCAGAGAAAAAAAAAATAAAGACCATATCTTTCCTCCTAATTGTCCGATTTTAACGATTTTTTTTAAAGGAAATTCCGTAAGCTTTTATAAAACCATATACAATATCCCAAAAAAGCGTATGCTTTTTGAGTTATTCGGAATTTAATTTTACCATCTGTAAAGTGACATCAATGGGGATAAGACTTAATTGATATTAAAGACCACTTAATTATACAATGATACAACGAGTTTAATCAAAATCGTTAGAGCCGTTTTTGATGTGTGCTGATGTTTTTCAGCGTTGATATAACGTGGCACTTCCGGTTAGCCGATTTTAAGCAAAAAGTTGCTGTCACAACTAAGGCATATACCTATCTTAAATATCAGTGATATCAGTTTCATAGGACTTTTCGTTTTTGAGATAGACAGCTAACATACAAACACACAGACCATTTTTCGGGACTTGGTCATTTCGACTCAGGTTACCTCAAAACGTGTAAATCCTTTGAGAACTCAGATTCAAAAATTTTCTCGATCGCAATACTTACACTTACTATATATTACATATATGCGTAAGTGAAAGTAAAAACAGAAGAAGTTTGACTACTTTTAACACGTAATAGAGTGTGTGTTGTTTTGATGTGATTAATGAGTTTTCGCATTCACAAATTTATCCAAATTTCTGAAGGACGTGGTTTGAGCATTGAGGGTGTTCATTATTATCCAAATTTCATTAATGCGTTCTATAGAGCTTAATCGTTAAAAATGCACTAAAGAATTTTTTTCCATTGCCCATTTTGTGCAGAACACATTTTCTGTTGATGTGAGTGGTAGGTCATGTGATGCGCGCACAAGATTTCTTATAGCAGTTATCACGACCGGTCATTATCTCGAGGCGGAAGAGACAGCCGTTCCTAAGTGTGTCGGCTCTTGGGTCTGAACCTGATCTTGACCAACATGGAAGGTAACCTGTTCGCTGAATGAAAGTCCCTCAGGAAGATCCGCATATCAGGTTTCTCTTCTCAATATGGAGCGGATTTTCCATTTCATTTTATATTTATGAAGTATTTATACGTTTTTACTTCTAGTAATAAAACGAAAGGACGTCCTGATATTATCGCATTTACCTCCAATGTTAAAATGAGAAAGTTTCATAGGTCTAATTGAAGTTGAAGGCTTAAAAAACAATAATAAGGTGTCATTAATCATTTGGACTACACATCTTTATAAAGGTGAGTTTAGACATTGCACAAACTATTGAAAACATGGTCTAAATCGGTTGTTTCTCTAAGAAAGAATTTCTTTTTTGTTATTGAATATTTTTTTTTTGCATTGGAATTTTTCATACGGTGAGATACAAAACATATAGTTGTATTCCTATTCTTTACTATTTTTAATAATATATATATATATATATATATATATATATATATATATATATATATATATATATATATATATATATATATTGAATATAAGTACTGCGTAACATTGATGATTTCCTCAAAATTATTGGTTGTTAATCATTTTTTTAATATATATATATATATATATATATATATATATATATATATATGTTGTCATTATTATAAGGATTTAGAAATTTAATTCTTTGTTCCTTATAATCAGGGCAATGATTCCATGGTTATTTGCTGAAATGTTTCTTTTTGGTTACATTTATCCAATTTAGCAGAATTTTTAACTCCAGTACGCTGAAGGTATACTTTGGATAATCCATAATTTGTTTTAAGTCTAGACAATTTTTAACTATATCTTTCAGTAGATTGAATTCGAGAAACCAAGATTTAATCAAAATTCGTGGACATTCGACTTATAAAATCTACCCGTAAAAGATTCCTGATAATGGAAGAACGTGGAAGACTCGTGATAACGAAAAATCTAACATATTTTCTTTAATCATCGAGAAATAATCTGTATATGGCAGTATATCTGTAATATATGATAGGTTAACAGATGTTTTAGTAAGGCGGTCTACCGCACCATTTTCCTGAATTCTCATATGTGCTTTGGTCCACATCAAATATTATCTGTTTTTATTTTTTATTCAGTAAAATTATTCTTGAATTACGTTACCTAAAATGTTATTTTTATCTATATTGCTATTATTTTCAATTGCTAATAATGAACTGCTACTGGTTAGGGATTCCCAAGGTCGCTAAAAAAACAAAAAAAAAAGATTTTCCAATTATGACTAATGATTGATAAATTAGTCACTAGCCATTACTCTAGCAAAATAGAATCGTCAACAGCATAATTATGAGCTGCAGTAAGAAGTAAATACGTGGGTGTAAATTCACTAGTCAAGCTGACATCCTTGCAATCCATGAATGGTTAAATATTAAGCATTACTTATTCTTCATACACCATTGTATATATCTTATGAATTGTAGTAAGTTGTAACACTTAGATCCCAATCACTGGCACAAGGGCCTGATAGTGGTACAACAGATGGAATTGTCATGACAGACAGTACAGAAAAGACGATTTGCACGGTCGTCTTCGGGCCTTTGGGGGCAGCGGTGAGGAACGAAAGGATGACATAGGCCACGGGGCCGGCCGGCTGTGACAGTTAGTTGTGAGGGCCCCATCGCGCTAACTGTACGTATCATCTCTTCCGAGAGGATTATCGCAATGCGGCTTCCATCCTAACGGTCCATGGCGACGTAGGTATTAGGTTTAGAGGCCGAGTGGAATAATCCGTGATTAGGGAATAATGATTAGATCTCTTGAAAATGATAACTTAGTGTAAGTAACACAAAGAAAAGTTATTGAATCGATCCGCAAACACTCTGACACTTAATAAAACGGTAGCTATGTTATAATCTGGTAAATAATATTATCCTGATTTCATCATGAGTTATTTATTATATATATATATATATATATATATATATATATATATATATATATATATATATATCGGGCTGAGCCGCTCCTTCCAAAAATTAAATCCTGTATCCGTTTGTGCATATCTGTGTAATTCTCATTCTAATCTTCTGCAATGAATACCCTATTTTGACCCTGGCTACAGGACTATCAGGGTACAAGGACCATAACGAGTTCAATAACAACCTTATTTAAGACTCCTATAATATTGATCTGTTATGAGGCGGCTCAGTGAAAAATATTTATAATGCGATTTCGAAGAAACCGCAAAAGATAACGCTGAAGCTGATAAGTCTATGTCTGTGATTCACAGGCCTCTGATGTGGTCCGTATACATGATGAGGTCAGCTGATAACCCTTTCAACAAATTGGCAAATCTAGTACTTTTTCGTACCAAAACTATAAGTGCATGTTATCTTACGTACTGTATTGACAAAATCCGTGGCGAGGAAAATTTGAATGTTAAAAAATGTTGGGCGTGTCCTCCTCCCCCCCCGTCCCTCCGTGTTCAGTGAGATGCAAGTTGAGCAGCTTCCCTCCTTCCAAAGTGGAAGATATTTAAAATTATATGTAAATAAGCAAGAGATTTCGGAAAATTTTATTAAATTATTATCAGTGATAGTTTGTTATTATATATATATATATATATATATATATATATATATATATATTCACACACATGTATGTACCACTATTTTTGAAAAAAGTATCCAAAATAATTTTATAAATTCATATACATTAAAACATATCATACCTAATAAAATATTTGTATTTCTCTGGTTTTCTTTATCTCAAATTGGAATTTTAAAATTAACTTAACGATTGACAATAGCCCAGTGCCTTTAAAAATCTATATAGAGTAATTCGGATTCTACTTAGACAAAAGACTTACTTGGAACAGACATACGAAATTAAAAAGATAAGAACTTACAAGCACTCTCACATCTTCTGTACTACAGATTTTCACTTAACTTACAAAACAAGTGACTCATCTACAACACTATACTGAGACCAATTTGGATGAACGGAGAGGAACTTTGGGGTTCTTCAAAACCAATACACATAAACAAAATACAAACAACACAATGACTTCTGCTAAAAATTGTTACTGCATCTTGATATATTTCAAATAACACTATACACAACGACATAATCACCCCAACAGTAAAATCCTACATCCACGACAAGTACACTACATTTCATTCTTCAAATCAAAATCACTCGAATCCTTTTTTCCATTCTATTTCTTGCTCTCTGTTACCTGAACGATGCAAATGAAAAATAAAATGGCCAAGAGACCTATTACTTCAACAATAAGAAGATCAAGCAAATACAATGCAAAAAATATAAATACATTAAATTTGATAGATGCGCTGCCGCGCAGGTGCAATTTTCATGGAATATTAAACTAAATAAATAACTTAAGCTTATGGCTCAGGCTCCCAAAATAGATAAAATATTTTTCTTTTCATAAATTAAAATGCACATACAGGTATTGAATTTAAGCACGTATTAAGAAAAATATAAGAAATTTATTTGTAAAAGTATTCATATTCTTTCATTTTTTTCCTAGAGTAATCACCGTCATTAAAAATAAATAAACAAAAAAAAATTCAAATTAAATTCTGGATGTGCGACTGTTTTACATTAACAACTATTATTTTCACCAAAAACTGACAATTGAAATTTTTTTATTTAGATACAAAGAGGTATATTTTAAAATGTGTATTAGACTAACTTTTGAAATTATATTGTCACGGCATCCCTAAACAGAACTAAAAAGCTTTGAGTTGAATTTGAACATTTTCCCTCTAGGTGCGACCTAGGATTGTCTCTTGATTTTTGGATTTGTCAAAGGCTTGTAAAACAGAATAAATTATTACCTGCCACAGCAGAATTCGAATCCGACACCTTGAGCATAGGAAGTCAGTACCTGCCCTGCTCTCCTAAATATAAACGTTTGAAACATTGCTTGTATAAACGTTTAGGTTGTTGTTGAAATCTGCTATCTCTCATTTAAATATCGTCCTCTACATACGGGTAATCCTGTATAAACTGCTCCCCTATATATAGAGAATATACTTAATGAAATTTTATATTTAAATTTTTAACGATTCTCTATAGCTTTGCTGACGATACGGCAATACTTTCTTCTCACAAAAATCCCACTATCGCTTCAATAGCCCTTCAAAATCACCTGCACGTCCTTAAAATAATGGTTTCACAAATGGAGAATTAACATCAATCCCAGCAAGTCAACTCATGTTAGCTTCTCCCTGAGGAAGATCTCGTGTCCTGTTGTGACAATAGACAATAAACCAGTTCCTCCAAAAATACATGTACGGTATCTCGGATTATACTTGGACAAAAAACTCATCTGGAACATTCACACTAAATTAAAAAAACAAGAACTGACCAGACGATACAAACAACTGTCACATCTTTTAGACTACAGATCTCCACTCAACTTACCAAACAAGCGTCTAATCTACACCACCATACTATGACCTATTTGGACATACGGAGCAGAACTTTGTGGTTCCGCAAAACACACACACATAAACAAAATTCAAACCACACAATCCAAAATACTCCGTAAAATCGTCAATGCTCCTTGGTTTATTTCAAATCACACCATACACACAGACATGAACATACCAAAAGTAAAATCCTACATACACATCAAGTACACAACATTTCACTCTTCTACTCCCAATCCACTCGTTCTATCTCTATCTTCCTCCCTGTTACCTGGTGATCCTCAAAGACGACTAAAAAGGCAGTGGCCTAGAGATCTGCTGAAAAGTTAAGAAGATATCAGGAATCAAGAAGATATAATTAACGCAATCACATTTGCTTGATGCGTTCCAACGCATTGGCAAATTTAAAATAACAAAAAAAAAATTATAACCCTTATAATCTATACTATATAACTTAAACTCCTCCAAAGTCTGTCCCCAGTTCCAGTTTCTTGAGTCCGGCAAACCCCATCTTACTCTCCCCTCCTTCCCCCATGACAGGCCCCCTATCTTAACGGCTATATTAGAATATGCACTTTTAAAAAAATAAAACTGAACGAGATAACTTAGGCTCATTTACTAGAATCGTGAAAACAAATACTTTTTAACTTAATTAAATTCGTTCAATAAACTTTTAAGTGGTATAATTAACATTACAAAGAAATGCTATGTTTTATATTATTATTTATCTGTCACATCTTTTGGATTACAGATCTCCACTCAACTTACTAAACAAGCGACAAATCTGCACCACACAATCCAAAATACTTCGTAAAATCGTCA